ATGGAATATGGCTGAGAAATTTTGTCACAGAACTGCAAATTGTGAAAGACATTGAAAGATCACTTAAGTTATATTGTGATAATAAATCAGCTGTATTGTTAAGGAAAGAGTACAAAGTGGATAAATTTTCATAGAACACTTAAGGACAAACTCCATGATAACATATCGTCTAACTAAAGGACTTCCGCCCAAGGTCTTTCATGAGCATATTGCTCACATGGGGTGTTTTACAGTTTGAGGAATTTGTGGTTTAGTGGGAGTTAGTCACTTTCATATATTTTATGTTCTATGTTTAATTTCATATATGTATACATTGATTTTTGGACATATTTGGTTATCTATAGATATGCGGTTTTTTCGTTCATTCATTACACTTTGTACATTAAGGATATTATATCGATCTCGATAAGTTAAAGTTTGGACCAGTTGAAAATAGACGTGTACAGATCACCTTCACGTAATTTTTCATGCTACACATTTCATGATGAATTCATGTCATTTGGTTATGTTAGGATGAGTAATCATTGTTGGTTTTAGTTGCGATGATGCAATAAAAAGCTGGTTTGGTTCTATATCTTAATATGATTAATGGACAGGACTTTTGGAGTATGCTAAAGGAATATAATGACAATTTTGAGCTCATAAAGTCTAACACATTTGTAAGGTTGTAAGGACATACATATTCGTGACCAGTGGGAGATTGTTGGCAAAATTTGAGTCATGTATATATATGATATATAATTTAAATGTGTTAGGGTCATTATTTATTAAGCCAAATAATAAAGTGATCTGACTAAATTAAAGTTTTGCCTAAAGGCATATGTCATGAAAATAAAATTGTGTAGAGACCATAGAGCAATTTCTAATTTAATGAGGGGCCAAATTGGAAATACTAAAACTTAAGTAATTAACCTAATTCTGGTTATTTTAAGGGGTCGTGGTCCCCTTCGGGAGCACACACACGAACGTAAGTATCGAGTCCCGTTCCTTTCTTTCTATCCCCATCAAGAGAGAAAATCAAGAGGGAAATACGAGTGCTCTTCGGTGGAAGACCATAAGATCAATATAATGCTCTACAAAGACATCATCATTATGGCTAATTCGAGTACGTTTTCGCATTCGAGTTTACAACATGTTTATCAATATGAGATTATGTTTATGTTTGATCGTTAGAATCAAAATCAGGATGATTATTATTATTATTATTATTATTATTGTTTTTCCAACATGCTATACTTCAATTTAGTTCCAACTTGTTTAAAAATTTCCTTCCAAAATTGATTGAGAAATAATTGGTCTCGATCTGAAACTATAGAGGAAGGATACTCATGTAATTTAACCACCTCCTTCATAAAAACATGAGTCACCTCTGTTGCTGAGTAGGGATGAGATAAAACAAAGAAATGAACATAATTAGTAAGTCTGTCTACCATAAAAAAACAGTGTTTTTTCCCCTTTTCTTTGGGTAGACCCCCCAATAAAATCCATGGAAATGTCAGACCATACTTGAATAATAATCGGTAATGGTTGCAATAACCCTGCCGGAGCTAAGGTTCAGTTTTGTTTCATTGACATACTTCACACTACATCATATAAGTTTTTATGTATTTCTTCGTTCCTTTTCAATATAAGATTCCAACAACTCTTTTGAGAGTGCAAAGATAATCATTGTAACCTCCTAAAGGTGATATATGGAGCTCCTTAAAATGATTGGAACTTGGGAGTAGTGTTTAGGTAACACTAGTTTACCTTCATAATACAACTAGCCCTCTTTAACTCATAGTGTGCATTTGGACACTTGAACCATTGCATTTGGAGCTCGACATAATATTTTATGATATTTAGAAGTTTAGGATATTATATAGTGTTGTTCTATGTTACATGGGCAAGAACTAGACCCCGCTCATTTTGTCATAGTAATGCTACTATATAGGTGTAAGAAAGAGTAAAAAACATTGTGCACGAGATTATTTTTTCAAATTTTACACTTGTATGCAAAGTTGATTCTCTAAATTCTCTCATCTTTTCAAATTTACAAAGAAATGTATGATTCGATTATGAAATTAATTTGACTAATAATTTAATTTTACAATATTTATTTATATATTATTATTTAAAAATTGATACTAATATTATCATGAGAAATTACGACCTATTTGTTATATAAATAGTTAAATGTTTTTTTCTTATAATAATCATTATAGGTATCATGATAAATTTATTTGTTTTTCTTAATAAATGATTTATTATAAAAGGATATTTTTTTAATCAACACATCAAAGTTAATTACTATTTTTTTATTAAAAGACGAAGAAACAAAGACAATAGTTATATTTTGTTGAAATTACTTTTAAATTGCATTTTATTTTTTAATATCATAGAAATGAAAAAAAAATTATAATTATGACTCGATATACAATTTTTATTTATTTATGTACTGACTTTTCTTAAAATTATAAAACGTATAAGATTTTAAAATGAAAATATTATTCATGTTGTTTAAAGGTAATATTTTTAAAATTTTAATAAATAATATATTTAAAATGTAATTATATATATATATATATATTAATGAAAATAAGTATAAATTCCATATTTTTTTATTATATTTTTTGTTTAAGGAATTAAAATTTAATGTATATTTCAATTCTAAGATATAAATATTTATTTTTAAAATTATGTATTGTTTGAGAAAAATTGTGAGATAGACTTTTAAGAAAAGAAAAAAATAAACTAAAAAAATATGTACTTGAGTGAGTTAAACAAATGATATATTTTTATTATTTTTATTTATTAATTTATTTTTAAGGGAAAAATATTAAAAAAAAGTATAATATAAAATTATTTTATTTTATTTATTTCATTTATATTTTGGAGATGAATAAATGAGAGAACAAATATAATATAAATAATATAATAAGTGATGATATAGAATATATTTATTATAATTTTATTGTAATTGATTAAAATTTAATGAATATATTGATTTTAAAATATAAATATTTAAAAAAAAAGTAAATGGGAAACATAGTTTTAGGAAAAAAAACATATAATTAAAAATGTATGGAAAAAGTTATATTTTTATGTATTATTTTATATTGAGGAAAAAAGTTATAATATATATCATATAGAAAAAAAATATATATATATATATATTACTTTTTTTTCTCTTTAATAATATAAAAAATGGTTTCAAAATAATTTTCCTTTTATATATTATTATAAATTATAGATATATAGATAAAATGATTTATTATAAGAATAAAAGTAAAATGTTTATTCATTATTTTTTTCAACAATATAATAATTTAAAGTAATATCTTATCCTTTATTTCTTATTATAAGACGAACATATTTTATGTTAAATTATAAATGGTAAAGTTAAATTTAGAATATGACACAAAAATGCATAATGAACTTTTCAAACTATAAGGTCAGCGCCGCTGACTTAGTAGTCTCTTTCATTGAAAACGAATGCAAGGTACCTTAGAATAAGGGTCCTACCAACATTAATTAATTGTTGAAACAATCATAAACAAATAAATCATGAACTTAACCATTTTACCAACCTTAATATATATATATATATATATATATATATATATATATATATATAATTAATGTGACTTTTATTTTATATAAAAATAATACAGTTGCTCATAAATTAAGGAGTGTAATACAAATGATCAATTTAATATACAGACTTCATATTGAATCGTTCAGATAATGTCTGATACTTATAATTCCCTTGAAGAAAAAATAGACAGTAAAATGTTATTAATGCAGAAGATAAATTTTAAAAAATAATAACAAAAAAGTTATACAAAATGTTTTTTTAAATAGATCTCACATATATATATTTTTTTAGAAAAGTATAAAATATAAAAAAATTCCAAAATAAGTTCTACATCTATCTAAAATAAATATAACTAATATTATAATTATACAATTTTTTATTTTTATTCATTATTTTTTTAAATGATAACTTTATTTTATTTTCATATTATATTTTTTCCTCACTTTTTCTTGCAACCGAGCATCTTTAAACCATATTTTACTTATCTACCAACCAAATCAAATTAACGATGAACTAAACCCATAAGAAAACATAATAGTTGTTTATAATTTCTCCGATGCCTAAATTGTTAACATCAAAGATTTCAATATTTTTTTAATTAGAAATTGATAGATTTAAATTTTAATTTACCACCTTAAATTAATAGTCGACTACATATAATTTTTACAATTTATTCTAAAATGAAAATGTTAATGATTGTAATTTATTCTAATATAATTAAATTATAATATTTTTAATCATGCCACTACTTTTTAGATAAAAGTTATCTATCGTAGCTAATCTTGAATATGAATAAACATTCATGAATTGAAATTATCCACTAAGTAATAAACAAACTGAGTTATATAGGAACGAATGGAATAATATATTTTAAAAAAATTATTTAAATAAAATTTGTATGAATTTATTTAATTAGTTAAACTTATTTATTGGTGATATGTAATTTTGTTTTTAATTTTTTTAATCATTATAATATAATAATAATATTTATAATATCTCAAATTTATGGTATAATATTTTTTTAAAATATAATATATTAACTTATAATATTTTTAGATCATTTAAATATTTTTATTTTTTTAATAATAATAATAATAACAGAATCATATTATTAAATTTAAATTTATTATTTTTAATTGAAGAATAAAATGAAGGAAAAAAAGAGAAAAAAAAACTATATTTTAAATTATAAACAAATCTAATTCAATAAATAAAGATAGAACAAAATTATTTAAATAAATATATTTTTTTTAATACATTATTCGTATGATTAATTATAGTCTCACACCTGTAAACATTTATGGAGGCTTTTGCTATATAATCACTTCTAGGTGGCTAACATTTGTCCAGATATTCCTGCTTGACCATGAATGCCTCTGCCTCCATTATCAAATTCTTTTTTCTTTGCTCGCTATGTCTGATCATGTTCAACTCAGTTGCATGCAATTTGAGGGTTCATTGCAATGAGAAGGATAAGAACATACTCCTTAACTTCAAACAAGGAGTCACAGATCCTTCAGAAGTACTCTCTTCACTTTGCTGGAACTTGAATATTTGAGCTACTTGGATTTGAGCAATAATGACTTCAAGTCTATTGAATTCAATTCAATGGGTAGTGAGAAATGTGATGACTTGTCAAGGGCTAACCCTCCCCATCTATGTGGAAAGTTCAGCAGCCTCCATTATCTTGATTTATCAGATAATCATGATATTCTTTTTCATAATCTCCATTGGATTTCGAATCTTTCATCGCTGCAATATCTTAATCTTGATGGTGTTCATCTTCACAAGGAAATTGATTGGCTTCAATCAGTCACTTTGCTTCCTTCACTGTTGGAGTTACATTTGGCAGGTTGTCAACTTGAAAAGATATATCCATCCCTTCAATATGCTAATTTTACTTCACTTCAAGTTCTAAATCTTGCTCAGAATCATTTTGTATCTGAGTTTCGTATTTGGTTATTTAATCTTAGCAGTGACATCTCTCATATTGACCTTAATGGAAATCAAATACACGGTCAACTGCCTCAAACATTGCCAAATCTTAGAAGTATTAAGTCATTGGTTTTATCTGGTAATTATCTCAAAGGACCCATTCCAAATTGGTTAGGACAACTTGAACAACTACAAAAACTTTTTCTTTCTCATAACTTCTTTTCTGGTCCAATTCCTGCCAGTCTGGGAAATTTATCATCCTTGCTTCATTTGAACCTTGCTTCAAATCAGCTGAATGGAAATCTTCCAGAAAATCTCAGTCAACTACTCAACTTGAACAGCTTTCTAGTTGCAGAAAATTCCTTAACTGGAACTGTGTCTGAAAGAAATTTACTTTCCTATTCAAATTTGAAGCAATTATCCCTTAATTCACCTAACTTGGTTTTTGATTTTGATCCTGAATGGACCCCTCCTTTTCAACTTCAAATTATTCGTTTTGGCAATGTGAAAGACAAACTTCCTGAATGGTTATTCACAGAGTTCCCTAAAACATCTAACCATTGTAGACTCAACCGCTTCGTTTGAACCTCTTGACAAGTTTTGGAACTTTTCTACACAACTTGAATATTTCTTTCTGGTAAACAACACAATCAACGGGGACATATCAAATGTGTTGTTAAGCTCAAAACTTGTTTGGTTAGTTTCCAATAATTTAAGAGGTGGCATGCCTTGTTTATCTCCAGAAGTAGTTATTTTATGTTTATATAATAACTCTTTGTCTGGGTCAATTTCTCCTCTCTTGTGTAACAAAATGAGCCACAAAAACAAGTTGGTGCACTTGGACATGGGTTATAATCATTTATCTGGAGACCTCACAGATTGTTGGAATGATTGGAAATCCTTGGTTCATATTGATTTAGGATACAACAACATAACAGGAAAGATTCCTAACTCGATGGGTTCTTTGTCTAACCTTCGATTTTTGTACCTAGAGAGCAATAGCTTACTAGGTGAGGTACCTTCCTCACTCAAAAAATTGCCAAAATCTTTGGATACTTGATCTTGGTCACAGTAATTTTTCTGGAGTTATACCAAACTGGTTGGCAAACAGTGTGAGAGGTCTTAAACTGAGATCCAATCAATTCAGAGGAAATATTCCCACAAAACTTTGTGAACTTCATTCTCTAATGGTGATGGATTTTGCAAGTAATGGATTGTCAGGAGCAATACCCAATTGCTTACATAACATCACAGCCATGCTTTCTAGCTATGCCTCAACTCGTGAAGTTGGCTTTACCATTAAATGACCGACTTTCTCAATAGGCATCTCTTGTACAATAACCATGCTTATAAAAGGAAACGAGTTAGAATATTTTAATTTGATGAATGTCATCGATGTCTCGAGTAACAACTTGTCTGGAAATGTGCCTTTAGAGATGTATATGCTCACTGGATTACAATCCTTGAATCTCTCTCATAACATGTTGAGTGGCACAATACCACAAGAAATTGGAAACTTGGAACAATTGGAGTCCATTGATCTCTCAAGAAATTTTTTCTCTGGTGAAATTCCTCAGTCCATGTCTTCCTTGCATTATCTCGAGGTTTTAAACTTGTCTTTCAACGATTTTATGGGAAAAATCCCATCAGGGACCCAACTTGGTTCTTCAAATTTGAGCTATATAGGCAATTCTGGCCTCTGTGGACCTCCACTTTCAAAGATATGCCCAGAAGATGAAAAATCACACAATACAAAATCCATGGGAGAAGAAGAAGGTAATGAATCTGAAGTGCATTCTTGGTTCTACATGGGCTTGGGAATTGGATTTGCTGTAGGATTCTGGGGAGTTTTGGGCGCCATTTTCTTCAACAGAAGGTGCAGGCATGCTTATTTTAGATTTTTGCACTGGACTTACGACTTTGCCATCCAAAAGATGAACTTTACCTAAGGTATGACACTGTTAGTGCATGGGCTTGAGAATATTTTTTTTTTACCATTCTTTTTGAAGTAACTTTTCTTCTAATTACAATGAAAGTTTTATTGTAATAGATGAAAGTTAAGGACTTATTTAGGTAAGTTTTTTAATAAGCACTTCAAAAAACTAATAAATCAATATTTTTTCTATAAATTAAAATTATTTTTACATGAATTAAAAAATAATAGAAAAAATTTACAAATTAAATTATGCATAAATTAATATTAGTTTATAGTTTTTTTTTTCATATTTGTTTCCCTTAGTAATAAAAAAAATTACCCAAATCAGACACTATGTATATATAATTTTTTTTAATGTATAGCATTATTAAATGTTTAAAAATATAAGTAAAATTATACTATTAAATTATAATTACATGTATACCATTATTTAAAATTTATCCTACATGTATCCAAATTGTGTTTTATTGGATAGTAATATCTGAGTAACATTCAATTAAGTTTGCTTGAAAAATAATTAAATGGTTATATTGCAGGTTATTGACATCCATGCTTCAATGAGTTTCTTCGTCTATAGGTTTTTGAGATTGGGCACAAGGTTCATGTGTTATTAAAGATATATAAATAAAAAGATTGATGAAATTTTACTTATTGCAATATTTATGATTTGCGTTTGAGAACAGCTTGCAATGTATGTATCTTTATAATATTTTTCAGTATGTATTTTAATATGATTTTAGATAGTTGATTTGAAAATTTACCAGATTTATTTTCATTCGGTTTATTTAAATTATGATATATATGGTTTAAATTAAGTTAATTTATAGATCTATGATTTTATGAATTAATTTATTTTATAGAATAATAATAATTTTTTAAATTAAAATAAAAAAATATTATTATATTAAAAAATATATGTATTTTAATTTTATTAAAAATTTACTTATTCTCTTACTCATTTATTTAAAATTTAATATTTAAGATTATTTATTATTTTAGATTAATAAATTACTAAATAAATAAATAATAATAATTAAAAAAAATTCTTATTTTAAAATTAAATTATCTATTATTTTATAATTTATATATTAAATGATTATATCTTAAATAAAAATTAATTTTATTAATATAATTTAAATTATATCTTTATATTTTTTATTTAAATTTTTTTAATTAATTATTTTTTTATAAGTACCTTAGTAAAAAAAATTATTTTTAATTATACCAAAATTTTATCATTAATTTATTAATCTAATATAAATTCATACTAAATTAAAAATTATAATCTATTTTAAAATATAAAATTAGACTATTAATTTATTTTATTTGATCAGTAAAATAGAGTGATTATCCATGGTTTACGATTCTACTTTTAAAAATATAAAAAATAGTTTGAATAATCGTTTTATACTATTTTTTTTCTTTCCCACTTCCCTAAAAAGGAAAAAATCAAATTAACTAAATCTATTTCATAATTATTTTATTTTAAATTACCATAAATTTATTTTAATGGAATGAATTTAATATATGTTTTATAAAATTAAATTAGATATAGAATTTCATTGTATGCAAAATAATAAATTTGGATGAACATTGGTTAGTACATTTTAACACGTATGATTTAGATAATTTAATAATCTTAGATGAATTTCACTCAATAATAAGCCTATATTAAAAATTGTATCCAATAGCAATTTTAATAAAAAAATCTATGCTAACAAATACATTAAGAAATCTTTAATACACCTTTAAAATATTTAAGTAGCATTTAGAAAAACAAATGTTTGTAACAATTATATGAAAGTGATAGAGATAAAAAATTATCATGTTTAATAAAAAATAAAAATTATCATATTTTATTAAAAATGTAAATATTTATTTTAACATAAACGATTCCTCGCATTTAAATGGAGATACAAGTTTATGTGAAATTTGATGGTAAAGTTAATAGATACAATATTTATCCGTGCCTTTTCTTCTTTAATATGGTTTTTAATATATAAATTATTTATTTAATGAATAAAACTATTTAATAAAATTTATATAAATATTTTAAAATTAGTTTTATGATTTAAAAGGAGTTTTAAAACTAGTCTATGATTTAAAATTAAATTATATTTAAATTAAAAACCAAATCAAAGTGAGTTTTTTCAAAATTTAAAATTCATCATATCTAAATTGAATACATCCCTAAGTTATTGGTTCTGTTAAAATTTTCAAAAATATTCAAAATTGAAAACTTATCTTCACCCTAAAATTAAATAAAATTTGTACGAATATGTATATTATTATCTTCTAAAAAATCATGGGGTGAAGATAGAAATTAAGTAGGTGCAAGAACAAAGAGTCTTTGGTGGGTTTCCTTGTATACATACTTGGGACAAAAGCATGTTCTCTCCCTCCCCTTTCTCTCTGTTTCTGACATTTTTTTTTTTTTTGGAGCTCCCTGCTTTGCTTTTTGGAGGGTTTTGCAATTTGAAGAGATTAGGGTGCACTTCACAGCAAAACACAAGAGCTTCTCATCTTTTCAGCTTCAATTATTTGTGAATCCTTCCCGCGTTGATTCCCAACCCTAATTTGCTGCCATGACTGAGGTAAAGCGTCAATCACCGCTATTTTACATTATATGGTTTTCATATTCATTCTGATGCACTCTTCACTCTGTTTTCTCTTTTTATGATTTATATTCCTGCACGCAAATTATATCAAAGTCTTTTTTCTTGTCCTTCTGCCCCGTGCATAATCGAAATCACCACTCAAAAATCGTGTACCGGTTTGTCTGTTATGAATTTATGCTTCTTGTACTTAAAAATTAAATTAATGTAAAAATATTTGGATTTTGTAATAGTATGTTGGGATTAGAAGGTAGGACTGTATGAGACTATTAAGTGCATGTTTAGGTCTTTTTTTTTTTTGGAGAAATACTTGCTTATTTCTAGTTTCATGAGGAAGTTTTTGAAAAAAAAAAACTAGAATTAATTCTTCTAAAATAATCTATGTGAAACATGTTGTAAGTATATTTTAGAATAACTGTTGGCTGTGTGTGTATTGTATTATCACGAGAGAAGGATTTGGAGATTGAGATGCAGTGATATATGTTCGGGGTTTTGATATGTGAAAGTTGAAGTTCTTAGTCGTGACTGATTAATTGTTTGGATGCAGTTAGAAGTTGGGGGCTTTTGTGTATTTATTTATTAATATTTTCTTTTTTATGGGTTTCAGTACTGGGTCAGCCAGGGCAACAAATGGTGCGATTTTTGCAAAATATATATATCAAACAACCCTTCGAGCATTAGGAATCATGAGCTTGGTCAACGCCACAAAGATAATGTTGCCAAGAGGCTGGCTGCTATGAGGAAAGAGAATATTGCTAAGGAGAAAGAACAGAAAGAAACAGCCCGTGCCATTGAACAAATTGAAGCGGTAAGGGTTTGCTCTTATTTTATATTTATATTGCTGATCATCCTTATGATACCGCTTATAAAGAAAGAAAAAAATAATAGATGTTTTTAGAGCATAAAAAAAAGGGAATTTCTGGAATTGGAGTTCAAGACTAGAAATCGAGCAAAAGGAAAATATCCCAATCAAATAAATCTGGAACTTTCTTTTATGATGCATGGATATGCTATGAGTATTAGATATGATTTGTACGACGATTCGTATCCGATATGACGATTCATTTATTTAAAAAAAAGTAGGATCGTCATATCTACAAAAAAAAGGTAGGATACAATACATCTAAGATACGTATTTAAAAAATGTAGGATGAGGCAATGAAAAATATAGTAATGGTGTAAAGAAAAAGAAAGCCAAGATGGAGGCAGAACTTAATTTATTACTAAGAATTTTTTTTATTTTACATTTAAATTGGAAAAATTTCTTAGGTCAAAAAATATTTAACAATGTCAAAGTATGTAGTCTCGTGATTAGATTGAAAAATTTAAGAGAAATTACTATAGCCTGTTGAATAGTTGGCAAACGCACCAAAATTATCAAGCACAATATAGTATTTCGATTAAATAAAAGTCGATTTCATAAGGAACGATTTCACTGGAAATTCCAAATCATAGGTTTACTAAGTGGATTAACACAAAATTGGTTTTTCATAAAACTTTGGGTTGAAAATAAATGACAAAGAACTCTAAAGTGTTTTTAGAGAAGATCAATTAAAGAACTTATGATTGACTTAATTCCTTTTCCCTCTTTTGTATAATGGCTAGGTCAAATTAAGAACATCAATTAACCTATCAATGTTGATGTCACCTACTTAAATCATCCACGTTGATTCCTCACACATGAAATTCATAAGAAAATCTAGTAAACGTCGATTCCTCATATATTTAAGAGATTTCCCAGCATTAGGTTTAAGGTGTTAAGTAATTGATACGTTCATTCTATTCCTAGCAATTAACGTAGCAAATATTCTTAACCTGATCTAGGGTTTCAAGATATATTTTCCAATACATCCTAAACATCAAAGATAAACATTAAAGAACACAAATGATAAGAATATCAACATCAAGAACATAGATTAATATTTCAAAATATCATCAAGATACAAAAGAGTTCAAAGGAAGTGCATCTAATCCTAAGAGAATGAAGTTAGCCACTCATGATAGTTATTACAATGATCCAATAAAGAAGAATTGAAGGGGAATTGAAGATTGGATCTTTTCTCAAAACCAAATTTTTTTTTTTCAAAACGCATCTTATCTTTTTATAGAAAAATTCTAGGTCAAGCGTCATTCGCTCAAGCAAAAAATAGCAATTTTCGCTCAAGCGAGAAATGTTCGCTTGAGCGAATGGATACCCAAGAGCTTTTGTCGTGTTTTCGCTCAAGTGAGAGTAGATGGCGCTTGAGTGAGTGAATTCCTGCGAACTTTAACGTATTTTCGCTCAAGCGAGCGTCCATCTCGCTCGGGCAAATTTCAGGCTGAAAATCTTCTTATTTTCATCTAATTTTTCTTCAATTATCTTGACAATTATGATCTTTGCTCTTGTACCAAGATATTCTATAAATTCATCCTACATTGGGAGAAAAATATATCAGAATCAACATAATTTAAGTGGTTAAATAACACTTAAAGGCATAATTATATCAACATTTATCACTTAACATAACCTCTATTCAAAGAGGAGAACTTATCTGAAGTTTTGGATCAAACTAATTGATTGACCAAAATAGTTCATAGGAGAAAATTGGGTTATTTGGGCCCTGGAGGATTGACGGGTAAACTGCGATTAAACTGGACTTGATGGTACAATTGTTTAGGTGTACAAGTAACTGATCTGATTAACATAGCAAATCAGCCACGCATAAGGACCAGCAAGGTTATTAAACTAGGGAGTTTACATAAACTTGTGAAGCATCTGTAAATTTCATTCATAAAGTTGGCAGAGTTCAGCTAATATGAAAAGCAATCTTTAAAATTCAAGATAGTATTCAAGCATAAGGTTAAAAATTTTGTAGAAGACAGACAACAGTGAGAGTTTGATCAATTTATGAAGTTGATTTGAGACGTAGTAAAATGTTGCATATTTTGGCTTTCCATGAATAGAACCCTCTGCTAATAAAAGGATGTTTCTTTAAAACTCTGAGAATGTAATAATAAAATAAACAAATCACATAATCATGCCTCAAAAACAATCCAGTTTTAGTTATTGAAATGGACTGCTGCAAAGTAAGAAAACATAAGTGGTTCTCACACATCAGACAATTTCTCCTTGATAACAATGGCTTTGATTTTGCTTTACAATGCTAGAATAAATGAGTGGATGTTACCCAGTAACGAAATGCACAATTATTGGTTTTAGAGGAATGCTAGCTGTGCAAACACTATGAAAGGTCAATTTGTATTCAAAAGAGTGTTAATTAGTATTTTGTTAGTATTTCTCTTGACTTTAATCTAAATAAAATACTTGACCTTAGAGGGGTCTTGGATTCCCGTAGGAATTCTTAAGTCAAATGTTGGCCGTATTTCAAGATTGAGAATTATCTGGAAATGGAAGTTGCAGGAAATTCACACCTATTCTTAACTTTTTGCAAATTGGATATATTTGAAAGTTTCAGGAGCATTGTATGTTCGGTACACATTTACACTCAAAGGTGAGATTTCTAAATTTGTTATATCTGTTTCTTTGTATTCTAATGTAGAAAGCACAGCGTAGCTATCAAAAGGATAAAGCAAAGTTTGAGGAAGCCAGAGAATCACATGAATTTGATGCTCGAGGTTGTAAGTATAAACATCTGTTTATTTATATTGTCAGAGTTCTGATTAGTAATTAATTTGCTTATTGGGGTATATTGTTTTGATATTCAATCTTTGTTTAGATTATGTAATATAAGGGAATGAACTATTGACTTCCACATAGAAAAAAGAATTTTGGAGTCAACTCAATTAGTGGAGCCCCATTTCCTGAAATTACTTATATTGTGTGGTGTGTCAAAGCGTTACGGAGAAGTTTTGTGCCACACTTCTCTCGTAAGGTGACCAGTAAGAAATATATTCATAAAGACCAGATTTTCTTTTTTGAAGAAAGTGGTGGGAGTTGGCTTGTATAAAGTGGATATGGCATGCAAACCCTACTTTATTAGTAATGGCCCTGCAAGCTGTAGTTATAACAGACTTTACTTTGTAGGGGAAATGGAAGACTACGGAGCATTGGAAATTGTCTTAACTAATACTAATTTCATGTGTTAAATTAGGAGTTGGAGGTCACTATAAATTATTAAAATAAAGCCCAAACCCTTTAAGGATTTGCAACCTGGTGTATTACGAATTTTGGGCTGCATAGTCTAATTATTTTTCTGTCATTTTAACTCTCTGCATAGTCTATAGTATAAAACAGCTCTAAAAATGTGTTCTAATTATTCTCTTTTCTTCCATTAATAAAGTGGAGTTCTCTTTTCATCAGATATGAAACTTGAATATTAAATCTAAGACTTATGATTAGTCTCCTTCCCCCTCTGGATCCTTTTTTCATTTTGGTAGATACTAACATGGATGTATAGAGACAATAGAATATTGAAATCTAGATGTTATTATGGCTTATGATACTAGGTTCATTGAAAGAGCAAAATAAGTCTATTTATTACTTTCTCAATTTTTTCCCCTTATACGAATTTGAATTTGTTTGGTATTCAGCATAAATATAAAATTTTGTTATTGTTCAGCGTGGAAAAAGATATGGGAATGGATAAAGAGCTGGTCTGTTGTATTTTCAGCTGCATCTCGTGTAGTTACAATTGAGGGCCAAATTTGCTTTCAAAAACATTTAGCAGGATTTTTACATGAAACAAATAACATCAAGGTCAGGATCTCTGCATTCCCTTTTGAAACTGCAGAGTGGCATGATACCAAAAAATTATACATGTAGCTTCATGATACAAACCCAATTCGATATACTCAAAATAGATGTGCCAGTGTCATGTATTACATTGTTGCTGCATTGATTTTGCATCTCGAAACTGATTATAGCTTATGATTTTGTAGAATGGGAGTTTGACAGCAGTTCAGGCTATTACTATCATAAATCAAATGGATTTTACTATGACCCAAAGTCGGGATTTTACTACTCTGATGCCATTGGTATGCCACTAGAATTGTTGTCTTACTCATACATGTAAAATATCATGTTGATAATTGATGCCATATTTACTTAAAAATATTTCAACAGGCAAGTGGGTGACAAAGGATGAAGCATATGCCTCCCCTCACTTTACATCTAATGGCGGGCACGATGGATCAACTGTGAAGAAGTCCTTATCAACATCACAGTTAAAGTCAGATGAAAACAAGTCAAATAAATTTCAAAATGGATCTTCACCTGGGCCAGTAGTTACAACTTCTTTGAATCCCAAAAGAAATGCGAAAGCTGCTCCTTCTTCTCTTGCGGTCGGAAAGAGAAAACGACCTGATGAAAAGTCCAAGGTTATCTCCGAAGAAGAAAAAGCAGCTCTGAAGGCAAGAGAGGCTGCAAGGAAAAGAGTGCAGGAGAGGGAGAAACCCTTGCTCGGTCTTTACAGCAAGCCTTACTAACTCTGCAAATTTACCTTAAGAGACATGGCTTGTTTTTGCCTGATTCCTTTATGCTGTGTCATTAAGGTGGGGGTCATAATTCCCCAATTGTTTTCCATGTGACTCTACCTTGTATAATGTAACTGCTCCATTTTCTATTTCTGTTTTTGCAATATATGCAAATTTTCAGCCTTGTTTGTATCTCTCGGAGAGGAGAAAAGCAAATTAGGCTGATGAAAGCAAATTAAATCCCTGTTTCAGTAACATTTGAAAAAAATCCAGATATTTAGTTTGAATTTCAGTAACATCTTTTGCAACGGAAAATAATATAATAACGTTTTATGAATTCATTTTCTCAAATGTTATGTTATTTGTATAAAATCTTATTTTCTACAAGAAAGGGGGAAACTACAGTCATATATGTGGAACTTTTTCTACTAGTACATACAATCCTATTGAGGGGGATTATCATCATGCCTTCAATTTTGGACTTCTTCTACAACACAATCAGGTTTGCTGTTTACAAAGTAATTGTCAATGCTTTGGATAAATAATTGGTCGCACAGTTAGCACCGTTGGTTTTAATTTGAATATATTATTTTAGTACAGACTAAAAAGGCAGGGGAGGTTATTCTCCAATTGGGTTTTCAAAACCCTTTTTCTTCGAGTCAGAGTCATATTTACGGGCATTTCTTCCTGCACAAAATAAAAAAATCTAGCACAGTTCAGATCATCTTTTCCAGAACGAAAGATAGTGTGACTTAAGTTTTTAGGATACGGGAAGTTGTGACCCATATTTACTTCCAAAATTCTGAAGGAGAACATGAAAAGAAAAAATCAACTTTGATGATGAAGTCCGGTTCTGTGTGACTTTACTCAATTTGGCTTTTAAACCAACTTCAAAATGCTATTCTTTCCCTTCTCAATGATCATTGTTGGCAATAAAAGCACAAAATGTTAGCATATAGGCTAACCCAATGTCAAGTAATCCTTCTTCCTCTTTTTTCTGCTGATTAGATAAATATCCTTTTATTGCCATTCAAGTCATTCTGTTCACTTTATTCCCCACAATAGAGTCCCTCATCTCCCTTATATAAAGCACACCCACATTCATATTGAACACAAATCTGACCAAAACATACCACACTTCATTGCAAAATTTCTTTCATTCACCCCAAAAAGAAAATGCCTTCACCTGTGCAGCCAAGTCACTCCTCATCTGCAGAAGGAGAGAAACACAAGCAATTGAATAAAGACATCAAGGACATGGTCTCTGCCATCACTCACAGGGTCACTGATTTTCACAAATCAGGCTCAACCCACCATTTGGAGAACGATGAGGAACATGGTTTGAGCATGGTCACCCTTGCAGGGAACAACAATGGTGCCACTATGAGAAGTGAGTTGGATGATAAATCAGGCAACCATTCTCATGGTGATGAGCCAGAGGCACTGAGCACCTATGTTAACAGCAACTTCCAAGCCATCAACAACTCAGTCATGCTTGGTGGAAGTTATCATGCCAATGATCCTGGTGTGCACCTGGACATTTCAGATTTGTCCACTGAGCCTCACCAACGCCACCACCTCAAGGAAGAAAGGCTTGGGAAGAAGGGAAGGAAAATAGAGAAACAAGCTTCCAAACCCAAACCACAATCATCATCATCTTCTTCTGATTGATATTAATGTTGTTGCTGAAAGCATCAAACCTGTTGAGTGCAGAGAATACATACGATCTACACCATTGATGAGCCTTGCGAGAATAGAACCATTTGTGTTGATTGTTAATCATATCCTATATCTTACGTATGTTTGAATAACCATGTTTTTGTAATATGTTGCTTTTTTGTTCGTTTCTTTGTGCGGTATCAAGCAAAAGCAGTATTTATTTTTCTCATCATATAATTGTATTCTCTATGCCAAGAATTTACGAACATTCTGAGGTTAGAGTCAAGTGTGGATGTTACTACGTAACCTATGTTATCCTTGGAAGATAAATGCCTAATTTGGAATATAGTTAAATTAATATTTACATTAAAAAGAGACATCGACCATAAAAATAATATTTTGTTCATATCTTCAATTCATATTATTATATATGCAACCAAACTTTGTTCTTATTAATTAGGAAAAAAATTACTCATTTAATCCTTATAATTAAACAAATTTTACCTTCTTACACTTAAAAAACACCCCTTTTAATCTTTATTTATACATGTTATATTTATTTTTATTTTAGTTCCTATAACTTCATATGTATGTAGATGCCAAAGAGATTAAAATGAATAATTTGTAATGACCAAAATGTAAAATGCATGGACAAATACTTATTTCCTAATCACTATTGCAATAATTAATCAAATGATTTAGATTTTAAAGACTGTATACATATTTCACGACTTTCGTTATAAATATTTTTATGAGATAAAAATAAGAAAAAATAATAATGAAATGAATTTCTTTTTTAAATTAGTTTATGTACAAGTTAAAAATAAAAATTTTGAGAAATTATATAAAAAAAGTGTATATGAAAAAATAATTTTAATTTTTTTCTTCTTTATAAATGTTCATAGAAAAAAATTTAGAGATTTTGGGTTTTGAAAAAATATTTTAAAAAATTTGATTTGAGCAAGTTTCTTCTAATATTTTTTTAATTTTAGAATTCTAACTCGGTTTTATCCTCAAAAGATTTTAATAAATTAAGTGAGACAGTATTTATAAAATATTTTTTCATGATTCCGAATCTGAACTTACCCTAACCCCTCCAAATAACAAAATTCATTTAAATAATTGATTTTCATGTATTGGTTTACATCAAAACATACACTAGACCCCCTCAATAAGGAGACACCTACAAATCAAAGGAAATCAAGAAGTGATAACAATCAAATTGCATATTAAACAATGACAAGACTATGCTGTTTGTCCTACAAATAACTTTACCAATATCTTTTTGCTCAACAGTTTCATACCCATTCCTGTGTGATTGATTATCTTTTCTGGAAGTTTAGGAACTTGATGCCATATGCAAATACAATTAGGAAGAGGAGGCAAAAAGCAACATGAGTTACTGCAACAACTCCAAGGAAGTCATGCTGAAAACCCAACTGCCTCTCAAGGTAATCTTTTACTGTCATGAGTCTAAAGCCAGGAACCTCTATTGGACTCTTTTTGTCACCCACTTGAGATGTCACCAGTCCATATATAGTCCAAGCCACAGGAGACCCCCAATAATACCACCTCCACCATATTGGAATTTGCTGCATAATAAGTGAAATGTAATTATTAGTTTCACAAAAAGGCAATGCATTAAATAATATACTTAGCATACATGAAGATGATCAATTGAAAATTTAAATAAAGTATGAACCCTGTTTGTTGGGTCCAAGGTTTTAAAAATTGGTCTATGACCATGATTTCAGCCAGCATGCAGAGGTTTTTGAGCTTTCCATGACTGCACTGCACTTGTGTTTTGTTAGTCGTAATATATTGAAACTATGAACTTGCTAATAAGTTTATCTTACCAATGTTAGACTAGTTCATTTCTTAAAGAACTAATTTATTTAGACAAAAACTTAATGAAAGCAACACATATTTTCGCTTTCATAGACCAAGAGAAAATAAAAGGTTAAAAGAAGGAGTAAATTTTTTAGAGTTACTCTAGGAGGAAGATCCCTCTCTCTCACTTGTAGACATACACACACACACACACACTAATATATATATATATATATATATATATATATATATATATATGAGATAACTGTTGTAGTACACATACATACCGTTCTTGGGATAATAAAACCAGAGAAAAGGTTCCAGAAATTTATGAAGAAGGACATAACAATTGCCGCAATTTGATAGTTTGGTGTCAGAGCTATAGTCATCATTCCATACAGTGTGAAGTACATAAAGCTCATGAATATGAAGTAGTAGAACCACAAAAAATTTCCAAAACGTGGTTCAAACCCAATCATCCAGTAGAGGATAATGGCATAGGCTAGACTTTGGATTGCAACATAAATTACTTCAATTGCTACCTGCAACACAGTACTTTTTTTTTTAATGAATTGTGCAGCTTTGATAAGTTATTATAATAGATGTTTCCTTAGCTACCTGACCAATTGCATAAGGCAATTCTGAGTACATTCCAGCAGCTCTTTCACGGTATAGAACTGTTCTTTCTATTGCAACAACTGGTTGAACACTGTTAGTGTTGGAGGCTCCAAGGAAAAATACTGCTGCATACATAGCTCCAAGGAGATTCAACAGGTCTTGTTCTTTTTGCCTGCATAAGTCATATTTATTGTCAAATATTTATCATGGAGACCCAAGAGTTCTTATTGATGGATGGCCTGAAGCTACAAAACAGTACAAAGATGATTCTTTGTGGAAATAACTTCTGCTCAAGGCACTTATGATGTAAACAAACATTTTTATTCTGATATTCTTTTTGTTTTTCTTTCTTATTTGGATTAGAGAACTGAACAGGAGATACCATCCAGTATCAAGGAGGATGATTATTGTTCATGGGTTTTCTAAATTCTAGCTAAGGTTTATGATTTTTTTATGGTAATTTTCTGAGTTATTTAACAAGTACTAATCAAGTGCAATACAGTCAAATAACTTCTTCCACTTACGTCTTTTTTCCTTTGTCCCAATAAATAAGTCCAAAAATGACACCAATAACTATTGTGATGAAGAATCTGATGGCATTATACTGTGGATTTCTCCAATAGGAACAGTTCTGTTTCCAGAAACAAGCTTTACATTGAGTAACAAATGATTGAGAGTATTTAGTCGGAAAGTAAAGATCCTTTGTTCCAGGAACTGGTGTGCATAGTTCCTTAATAAGTCCCTGGTTCTTTCTGGAAAAATGGTGATTAAAGTATATATAAGTAAAACATCATAAGAAAGTTCAGATAATTTAGGCAAGAAGAAGCAGGAATCTCTAGGAATACAACTAGGAGTGCCACTTACTGATAAAGGTCTGACTTAGTATATAATTCTGCAAAGTCCACATTAAGCTGAGACTCAACAATAGGAGAAGTGATCTCCAGCATCCATGTGGCTGGATTATATCCATCTTTAATCTTAGGAACTCCTGGAATAGCCTTAGAAAAGTTTATGTACAATCAGTAAGATTACAGGCATCATACTAGTTCCAGAATTTATACATTATAATGGTAGAGCTTTACCTCAAAGTACTCAATAAGATTATGAGAATTCCGACCAAGAGGACCACCATATATCACTTGTCCACCTCTCTTCATCAAAAGCAGCTGATATAAAGATTTTGTTCAAGGGTGAGAATCGTGCCATCAAAATCATTACAAAAAGTAAACTCCCAGATTGGTTCCCAAGGGTGATGTAGTTTTCTAGTCCTTGATTTTATAAAACTCTCATCTAGTCCCCAATTTTACAAAATGTCATTTACTTAGTCCTTTTCAACTGCCTTTTTAACTTGTTATGCCTAAAAAAAATTACTTTTGCCTACAATTTCAGGGGCCAATGTGTGGTTTTACTGCCAAATAGATAGTGATATTCACCTCGTCAAAATTTTCAAATATATCAATGCTTGGTTGATGAATCGTGCAGACAACAGTTCGACCTGTATCTACTGTATTTCTAACAGTACGCATAACAACTGCTGCAGCTCTAGCATCTAGACCAGTTGTTGGTTCATCCATAAAAATAATGGAAGGATTTGCAACCAATTCCACAGCAATGGTAAGCCTCTTTCTCTGCTCTGTTGATAAGCCATTTATTCCAGGAAGGCCTACTATAAAGTGCCTCACTGAATGTAGCTCAACCAGCTCTAAAATTTCTTCAATGAACATCTGTAAAATAAGAATTAGATCTGTAACATAATAAAAACTATTCTGTTGGAGTGTCCTCACTGAGTTATCACTACTGTACTGACAAAAAGTATCTCGAGTACTATTGATGTTGGCAACAACCTTAAGCTAGAAAAGTGTATAGAAATTGGAAATTTTTGAGACTTGAGATCCCACAGGCTAAGCAGAGAGTACAAATGTTTGGACAGTCTTCACTCCATGATAGGAAGTTTAACATGAAACTGATTAGAAGAAAAACATACCTTTCGTGTCTCCTTATTAACCTCGTTACTAAGACGTAGCCAAGCAGAAAACATGAGAGATTCGTAGACTGTAACATTTGGGGAATGTATATCATTTTGTTCACAATAACCACTGATCCGAGCAAAAGTTGCCTGGTTTTTGGGATAACCAGATATGCTGATGCTTCCCTCAATATAACCACCTGTTTTCCTTCCTGCAAGAACATCCATCAAGGTGGTTTTCCCAGCACCACTTACACCAACTAATGCTGTTAAAATCCCAGGCCTGAAAGCACCACTTATGTCTCTTAGTAGTTGGAGTTTATTATCTTCAATTCCTTGTTTCTTCATTTCCTGACAATAATTCACCAAAATTACTTTTGAACATACGCTAGTGATGACATCATAACATAATTTTTCATAAACTTATTGTTTAAGTTAGATTATTATATTACACAAAACTGTCATCGTCTAAACATAATCTTTTTAAAGTTCTTTAGGCAGTTCCTTTCTATGCATTAGATTAGTTAATTTTATATTCTGCAGAAAGATATTAGATGGTGCAAGTGCAAAAGTTTGACTCTTGGTGTCAATTGTCTCA